CAAGTTTACGTCATCGGATTATTGAAGCTATCATAATAAGTTACATTTGAACTTTCCATGAAATACCATACACATGGCCATACTTTCAACTACGTTACTGATGTGTGCTACGTTACTACGGTGTTATCTGGATACATAAGAATATGAAAAAATGTTTAAACTTCGGATCTTTTGTAGAAAGCCTCCGCTAAAAAACCACCCCGTCACCGCTCAAAATAAAATAGTAATTATCCAGATATATTTTAAAATTGTGCAAATTGCGCTTGAAATTCAAATCAATTTCTAACCGAACCGGATTTTTTTTTTTTTAATTTTTTTTTATTTTTAATTTTTTATTTTAAATATGGCTGGGGTGATTTTCTGAAATCTCATAATTTTTGAATAGGTGGTCACATAATTGCTAGTATCTCGTATTTTTGTAAATGTAATATGTATTTTCAACAGGTTATCGTGACACCTGGATTTAGACTTCCCTACACTCATATTATTCACGTCGCTACTCCATCATGGGAAGATGAAAATCCAAAGAAAAGTTTAAGAAATTTATTCACTGCATATAAAAACGTCATACGGATAGCAGATACGGATTTAAATGCGACAAGTATTAGTATACCTACTTTGGGAAGATGTTCAACAGCAGGTGTGTTGGATTTTATTTCATATCAATGACACGAGCAGTAGATTGTTTCTTGAGTCAATGCCACGGTAGAAAAGGTCATCTATGAATACCGCACCAGGCTTTTAAAAAATATATTGACTTTTGTCAAGACAGATTCAATAATATACTTTTCAAAGTGTCAATTCGAGTAATTCCAGATTTTCTTATACAGAATTTAAACTGAATTTTGATAATATCTCGCCATTTGAGCAGAGTTTGCTAAATCAAGGCTGCCAAATCAATATTTACAATTATATGAGAAAATAGAGTCCCACATGTTCAATCAAGACTACTTCAGATTTGCTGAAAACATAGCCTAGCGTGATGAAATTTATTTATTCATAACGCGACATTGTGTATTCCTTTTTAACTTAGGAATCCAGGGCTCAATAAGTTAAACACATATACCGGTATATGAAATTTCCATCTGAGTGATGCTGATGGTTTGAAAATCTAACTCAATCCAATAATATTCGGTTTAAATAACAAGGGTAATAATGCCTGGCGTGTAAACCTTACTAGTATGAACATATTTCCTTGTGTTGTTCAACAGGTCGAACATTTCCTGAACACCAAGCATTAGCTGTCATGAGGCAATCAGTCGTAGGCGTCACAAAATCTGGTCTTCAGCACATACGTCACTTGAGAATTCTGTGCTCACGTCAGAGAGAATTAAATTTTGTAAAGACAAAGCTGTTTCCACAACTAATGTTTGTAACGTATGACTCACGGTAGGTTTTGTTTGGGGTCATTTGTACGCGTGGGGTAAATAGTAACTGGGTGTGTTATATGGGTTTGTCTGTAACCAAATTCAGAGATACCTTAGTGGGCACGCGATTTGTATTTGTGACGCAGGAGTTTACAAATGTGTTTCAATCGAATTTCTACCCCAAACCTAAGTAGAGGTTATTAGGTCACGCATGATACAAACACTAACCTACCGATATAATAGGTGAGATAGGATTATAGCACGAGCGTGACGGCTTTTAACCACTTCCTCTTATATCCCATAAGTAGTTAAAACCCTTTTACCAGTTCTTCGGAATAACTATCTAGACCACACGCATTTTTGAAACAATATTCGTCTTTTGTTAGTTTGCCATGTTTGTGGTTGTTATTATAAACGACACTGTATCTTTTCCCTTGTTTCAAATTACATTCTCCATACCACCATATTGAATTATATAAGCAATGTTTTTGGATGAAAATTTTTTTTTTAAATTATTGAAATACCAAAGTAGGATTGTCAAATTTTCTGAAATGTTTTGTTTGAATTTGAATGTGGCGATTCGACAAATAAAACAAGGCTTTTCCTTGTTTATTGTTTTCATATAGATCATATATTTTAGATATCTCATGTTCAGTTTATGCCAAGACTTTATCTGAATTACCAAGCATAATTAAGAAAAACAATTGCATAATCTCTTACAGAATTGCATTGATCACACAAATAAAATGTAAATATCTTTCACTGGAGGCATCTCGGCTTGATATAACACAAAATGCGTGTCATCAGCCAAGTTAACATTCAAAACATTGTGGTTTTAAGGTCGTCGCTGTCAAAGACAACTCGCAACGACAACAAACGTTCATGAATACGCAACCAATTCTGATTTTTTGCAACTTTTATTTTCGTTAGCAAGTATTGGACATTGCATTGTATTCGTAAGTCAATGAATCTCATGCTTACCAAATTAATCATCCATTTCAAATATTACCTTATTGGGTAAATTGTAGACAATTTAATAACTTTACTATTCCAAAATAGGATCAAGTTATTTCGTGATAATTATTGGGGGCAAACAATTTTTTAAGTTAAAAAACACCTTTTGCAGAAAACTCCCGTCAAAAACACAAACTCGCCACCGCTTAAAAAAAGTCAGTCATCAACCGGTTAGGGTTTGGCTTTCTATTTATTAAAATTTTGTTTTTAGATATTTATCTCAGCAACAACAAAGATATTTTAGAAAGCGAGACGAAGAGGAAGTTGATATATATACTGATGACGGGGCACTTTTTTGAATTACTATTTCCAGATTGAACAAACTACTATTAACGTTTTGCAGACTTTTATTTTATGAAACTGAAATTGACTGTAATCTAGAATCTAAGACAGCGGAAACGTCAAACAAAACTAGTTCAAAAAAAATTTATTGCGCCGTTTTTATTTTGAATTCAGTTGATATAAAAGTGGACAAAATATTCTTGAATTAGTATAATATTTATATCGTTTTGCAAAAACAAAAATATTTTTGCATTATTTGTCAAATATTTTTTAATTTCGAAATGTTTTATTATGCATGACAAAAAAAAAATTGGATACACAACAAAATACTCCAGCTTTTTTTCAAGCGTCATATGCATATGGCAAAAGGTTCTTTTGTAAAATGCTTGAGAAAATGACTGTTATATTTCTATTTTTTGTGTTCCGTGCGCTACCCAAAATGATGCAACAATGCGTCATGTTACAACATGTACAGTTGAATCATGTTTGTAGAATTGTATTTTTATCATTATAATTTACATTGGTTAAAAATATTTCTTATATAATGCAGTTGTATTTCTTGGACTGGGAAGTTACAAATGTGATAGGCAATCGTAAATAGCTGGCTGTCGCCATTTTGAAAAACGGAAGCTTTCAATATAACAATGCAAAATTTTTTAATGGATATAAAGCTGTGTAGACTCACTTTCCGAGCATTAGTTTCAAAGATGCAAATGCGAATATTTTTGGTCGTTTATTCAGCACGATTTTACCAAAATAACGCATTTTGAGTTTTAAATGCAAATCATCATTTCACGTTATTCTAAGAATTGAAATTTGAGTCACGGATCTTCCTCACTACACGAGGAAGTAAACTAATTATTTACGGCAGTTTCTAAAATCTTCTCAATTTTGACCCATTAGTCAGAGAGTATTATAGGTGACATTTATTCAAAAACAATGGTTTGAATAGAAAACACCATTATGGTTGCTTCAATTTTCGTATTTAGTGCAAAACATGAATAGGGGGATTGTATTTTGACATCAAGTACCACACACAAATTGCCTGCCCCAAACAAAAGAGCTTAAGTTCGAAAATTCAGGTTAAATGGTATTTTGTCAACAATTTTGAAGACATGTAGACTGTATAGGATGAACCTTTATTAACGACAGTTAATGTTGTCAAAAGTTGGTTTTAACTCCGCTGTTTAACATTTTTCATATAGAATGTCATTTTTTGACAGTAAACGTTAAAATACGTTTTTGTTAAAAATAAATATTAAATAAATATATATAAATTCTTATATAAAAATTGTCGCAATAAATTTTGCAATATTTAGTTGGATTCAAACAATCACTAAAATATAAACTAAAAGCCAAATGTGGACATCAATTATTTGGATCACATTGATGATTATTTTTACAGGTCTTAGTTGTACAGTTACAGACTTTAATTGAATTGGTGAAAAATTTGAAGTAGAATTTTTTTTTATAATGTGGCACAATTATGCACACAGTAAACTTGTTTGAACAAAGTGATTTCAATTTCTTTCTTTTTTTTACATTTTATAACTCTTTACAACGTGGTTTCTGTTTATGAATAGAGTATACATTCCATCAGAGCTATTTGTTTGATAATGCGAAAAACACAATATTCTTCTCTGTATTTCCACAACGGCAAACACGGAAAAAATAAAAAGTATGTTCCCGACGCATCCATTTTTATTATAAATGTTTTGCTGTAGTTCGTGTGACCCCTGAAAATGCGTAAAAATGGGTCTTATACAAGATGAATCACGCCACACATTGTGGCACTATACGCGTGGTGTTAAATTCTTCACATAGTATCGGGCATAGTTGAAATGAATTGCGCGTATTTTTTACTCGGAGTTGTCATAGGATTTTGTCTGCAGAACATTAGCTTTGGAGCGGTAGAACCTAGGCGATATGATGGGTAAGTCAATTTATTCTATACTTTGTAATAATAAAATTGAATATTCTGAATGGATAACTAATTATTGGAAGTCGCAAATAGGGAGTGGGGTACAAATGATTATTTTGTAACATGGCATAAGGAAAAAATATTGGAAATATACCGGCTCTAACATACTTTACACCATTTTTTATTTTCTAGTTTACATGTAAACTATGATTCATATTCTAGAAGAGTTGATGTAAAACAAGATAATACAAAACGTGAGAGCTGTTTTTTTCGTCGTATTACGTGAACTGTATTTTCATCCAAATATTGTTGCGTGATATATATAGCAGTATTGCAGGAAAGATGGATCTACTTCAGAGTAATCAAAATAATTTCATTTATTCAAAGGTATCGCGTTGTCACAATTGAACCACAGAAAGACTCTTTTGAGAAGATTGATGCTCTATTAGCTTCATATCAGGTCGATACTAATTTGATTCAACATGTACGGTTGGGGTAGTTATTGATATACATTGATATTTTCGTTCGCTGTTCATGGGTATTTTAGATCTATCACCTTCTAATTGTTAATTGTTCTAAGAGTTAAGACCAGCTGATAACGTTTGAAGTTAGAACACATAAAAATAAAAAATTAATTTTTAAAGTATCATTCTGTAGTGCGACATATTTGATTTGTTTGTTATTTTTACTAATTGGCAGCTGGATATATGGAGGCGTCCATCCGTTGTCAAGGCAAGTTATGACGTGTTGATCGCACCAGAAATATGGGATGTGATGACGACAGCATTTGACAAAGCGGGTGCTAAATACGTCATTACCATAGGAAATGTACAACAGCTGATTGAAAAGGAAAGATTCAGGCGTACACCAAGACGTGTCAGACGTCAACCGCGAAGATTTTCATTACACAGATACCACACTTTAGATGAGGTGAGTGGTATTGTTTACGCTTGGCTCTTCTTTAATTAAACATAAACTTATAATATTGAAAATTATAATAATAACCAAACAATCACGGATCACTGGCGTTTCCTTAACCCGCAATATTCAAGATTTCGAGAGTGCAATTTTTTTTGTTTCTGTTACAACCTTAAAACTTGGAGGTTTCGTGAGTTGGGTGGATAAATATGCAACTTTGCGAATAGTCAATTATATAAAAGTAGAAAGTACACAAAATTCGATAAACATCCCAAATTTGAAGTATCTGTCTGACAAAACGAGGCAGTCACATTCCATACATGCTTCGAGATTCTTCCAACGCATCGCAATGTTGCAAAAAATAACAAAATTGACTGAACGAAATATTTTTAAACCTTCTTTTCTAGATAAGAAGATGGATGTATCATTTTTCAAGGGCTAACAGAGACATCGTGAAAAGAGTGCAAGTAGGAATATCTTACCAGGGGAGAAGAATATTTGCTTTAAAAGTAGATTTTTTATTCTATTTTGTGATTCAATGGAGTTTGGCAAATTTCCCTGTTAGTAAAATAAAAGTATTTTTACGCGTACGAACATGATAAATAATACATTAATTATGTTTATATTCATACATCAACTTATCAAACGTACGCGTCTACCAATCATATCAGCCAATTACTACTTGAGAAATGACCCAAAAAATCATTCCAAATAATATAAATATTATTTTAATTAGATTGGGGTCCCTTCCGCAAACGTAACAAAACGCATTATCTGGCAAGATGCTTGTATTCATGCAAGAGAGTGGGTAACTGGAGCTACATTGATTTGGTTGTCGAGAAAACTTGTCAAAGGATACAGAGAAGGAAACTCAGACATTGATCGTTATTTGACTGAATTCGATTGGTATATATTACCGATTTGGAATGTTGATGGCTACTTGTACACCTGGACAAAGGTGGGTTATTAGTACATTAGAAAATGTAGATATTAGTCAAATAGCATTATTGGAGCTATTTGCTGATGGACAGTGCGACTAGGTGTTGGATTTAAACGACGTATATGTATGTGTCTTTTGGGTCCTTTGAGTAATGAGTCCGCCACGTAAATGAAAAACTTGGGATTTATCACTCAGTTAGCTAAGTTGTCACGCACAATAATTGCGTTATAAATCATGTTCGCAGCGCTTTCAGTTATAAACCTAAAATTTGTGGTTTCTTGCCAGCCGATGAATGGAAGATATTCAATGTCTGCATACAAATTTTGTTTCAACAAATGGTGATTAAAATCTATGCTATTCTTGACGTATCTAGCAATATGCAACGTGATTAGAATATTCTGCATAATATAATAGCCCCGGTATTTTATTTTAAACGTCGGTTTCATCTAAATGTAACATTAATCATTTAAAGTTTTTCCTGAAAAACAGGTAAAAAAAACTTTTTAATATTTTGTTGTCAAATATTTTATAATCAAATCTTATTTTATTAGGATAGAATGTGGAGAAAATCAAGAAGTGAAGCAGGATCTTACGGATGTTATGGTGTTGATTTAAACAGAAATTTCGAAACACCTAATAGGGGAGGTAACATATTTTATATGGAGTATTTAAGAAAATGATTCATAAATTATATCATAATGAAACATCGATTAATATAAAATATTTGTACTGGTTAAGTGATTTATAAAGATAGATAGAGAAGATCGTACATCGCGCGAAAAAATATTGTACAAAAACAGGCCGATGACGGGTATCGAAAACCAACCTCTAATTTTGCGCCATTTTGAAGTTAGAATCCGACTCCAATTCAAAAATCTTTTCAATTTGTCGATGGAAATTTGAACTTCCCGGAAGTTGTCAGTATTTTTTTTACTATCCGGTACCGCGAAGTTCAAAATACGATTCTGGCCTCGACCAGCATAGTTTTCCAAAAGCTCTTACAGTATTAAAAATAGTAGATATTTTATTTTATTGCTATAAAGGAAGTGGCCGGAGTTTCATAACAAATACATTTAGCTATAGCGTCTAGTGTAGATGCATGCAACTCCGTAAAATGTAAAACTAAATATGTTATATGAATACTTTTAAAGAAATTGAGTGGTTTCCTCATTCTTTATTTTCAAACACTCCAATGGTAAGCTCAATAGGAAATTTTATAATGTATTACAATGATTATACTCAATTCTTACATTATAGCCGGTACAGCCAGTGACAATCCATGCTCAGAAGTTTACCATGGTCCGAAAGCTTTTTCTGAGTTGGAGTCATCTTCAGTTCAAAAGTTCATGCTGAAGAAGCGATCCCATCTTGCTGCTGTTATGACATTACATTCATATGCTCAATATTGGCTTTATCCATATGGATATACCAGTGAACATAGTCCCGACAATGATGAATTGGTACGTAATTGATCTTGATGAATATCTTTGGATATACTTTGAAAATACTATTATCAAATATAAACCAGAATGCAGATTACTCCCTAGTTACTTATCGATCTTAAGATCGGTAAGTATGTTGATAGGTATTTGTCTGTCTGTATGTCTGTTTGTCTGTGTGTTAGATGCACGCGATATCTCACGAAAGTGAGGTTGAATCTGCTCCAAATTTTGCATGTGCATTCATCATAGCTCGGATCAGAAGCCTATTGATTTTGGATGGATTATGTCTTATAATTAGCGAGTTCTTAATCCATTAATGATGGGACACACGGTGTCACTATGAAGTAAGACCACAGTTTTGGGGGATATCCTAACCTTCGATCGATAAGTCTTCGGTTTCTAACCGATATTCTAGTTTTATTTTTATTTAATTTGAGACATAGCCACATCGCGATTCTCTTGCTACCAATTGCAAACTTTCGATAGAACATGGCAATAATACAATATCGTTCCGAGACATGCTACTGAATAAGCCAAATAGCTGCACATCTAAAACAACTGTTAATATGTTATATTATTCATGTTTCCCAATAATCTATTCCAAACGATAAATTGAATTAAATTAAATGATAGGCATCGCCAACTTCTTCAAGCACAAAAAGATAAGACTTGAGCAAATCTTTATTAGATTACGTCGTTTCGTTGAGTCCTAGGAAATTAGGCGATAGAGTTTTTGTAGGAATGTTTTGAGTTTGCTCCAATATACCTAGTAAGCTATACAGAATGCAAATACATACCCGGTGCTTGCTTACAAATGTGTTTTTATAATATTCAATAAACAGGAAAGAATATCAAGCGAAGCAGTGAAAGCGATGCATAAGAAGCACAACGCAGTTTACAAACATGGAACAGTGTCAGATATAGCATGTAAGTAAAAATCCACCGATATAAGTCCAATTTCTCAACAGTCAATTGATTTACAGATTTTAATATTCGTGATGTGATATTTTTATTTTTTTTACCTACATAACTAATCTTCGTCTTTATGTACTTTCATTTCAACAACATTCGCCAGCAACACTGGCCTGGGATCAATAACAGTATTTATGAAAATGAAAACAAACAAGATTTTACCCAAAAAAACAAATAAATAATTTTAACATAAATTGAAATATAAATACGTCAATATGAAAAAAAAATACAAGAGCGTGGCAGTGTCAAGATTGGGAGTCAAAAAATGATATAACACTACAAAAATAGTAAACATGTCAAAATATGAATTTTTGATTGATGTTGGCAGTTGATAGTCAGTTCTCTGAGTGTCGGTGTGATTCTCTCGGTACACATGCTGAATTATTTTACCCACAGACCAAGTATCCGGGGGCTCGATCGACTGGTCATATCGTGAACTCTGCGTAAAATACACCTTTGGAGTTGAATTGCGTGATACTGGAAAACACGGATTTCTTTTACCACCTCGTTACATCATTCCTACTGCAGAAGAATATTATGAAGGCCTTGAGGTTGTTGTTCGTCAACTCTTGCAAGAATCTCGCGAAAATGAAAGAAGTTCGTTTTGCACCCAACGTCGTGGAAGGGCCTGAATGAGGAATATAGTTTTTTGAATATTTATGAACTCGGTGATTATATAACTGGGTTTTTTGTTATTTGTAAATAAAATACTCAAATACCGAGCACGTTTTTATGAAAACAAATATATATTCGTTTGAGAATATTTCTTTCTAATAAACATGCCGTGTATTGAGGTAGATGTGATTTAAATAAACCTGTTGCTGAAGAGTAGTAACACCATCAAATATTTATTGTAAACTGCATTTTGATGTGAGAAATCAGTGTCCTACTATTTGTATTGGTTTTAAACGAAAGTTTTAACAATTGTTGTAATTATCAGCCAATTATAACCAATAAAAATGACCGATATGCTGATTTTCTAATACTCAAAAATATTTGATGTATTTACTACCATTCAAGTCACGTTAGTTACATTCACTTACAAATCCCTTTCCAATGTTAGACTTGAAAATGTTAATAGCTAGATTCATCAATCTTACATAATTGGCAGATCGAAATATTGCCTACATTTGTATCCGAAAATTGTACCGTTTGAAATTAAAAAACGAAAATACTTGCACGACTTTCATTTGCTATATAACGACTGTACGGTACGGTTCTGATTACGTTATATACTAAATCGGCAAATTCATATGCCTGAGTAAGCTGTATTGTAATTGTACTTTTTTTTTTACTTCAGAGCAGTTTCTATCTTGTCAAACGGGTCATCTATGGCTGCGGAATGAACTGGGTGTTTAAACTTATTGATTTCACTAAATTTTCTTCCATGTTGTGAATTGTGATATAGTTCAGTTATATCCGCGCGTCATATATATTTTTCTTCAGTTCCTAGGAAACTTTTAATTGAATTTTGTACAAAGACGTTGAAAGTAAACAATTGTTGGATTTGTAAGTTATGTTATTGTGTATGTGTGATGTGCATATATGTACTTGTTTTGAGTTTTCCGTCAAAACATGACCTGTGTTATGTGTAGGCGGCTTTGTCTTAAAATATACCTTGACTATTTCTCCTACTACTAATGAACAGGTCGAACAAAAATAAAAAGACGAATATATCTATATGAATAATCAATCGTGTGCGACCCGAAACAATATTATGGGAAAGGTTTCAAGCAAATACGGATTAAAGTGAAAATGGGAACGGCTTAACCTAGAATACCTAAAAACTCATATTTGGCTTATATCCAAATCTTATGAAAACGACATTTTTCTTTACCGTTATAGATTTCAACTTGATAGAAACAGAAAAAAAATTAACAACAAAGGTATTTTGTATCTTACTTACGTCAAATATTGTTTTCTCTCTCTCAAAATGACAAAACGGCAAAGTTCTCTCAGTAAAATTCCTTGAAGCGAACATGGCAAATTACTTGGAAATATTTTTCTTGCGTCGTCGTATTTGGCTGGCAATTGAGCGTGTCCTTCGCTGTCATTTTTCGGAAGAAGAAAGGGCAAATCATCGGAAACGCGAGCTGAGCGAACAAAACATTCTAACTAGCATTGTTCACCCAAATCGAGTTACCGTTCGACCGCTAAATATCAACTCTAAAAGACGGTACCATTATTGCAAGAAATAGGTCGTTTCAATAACAGCGTAATCAAATTAGTTGACCGCACCACATGATCGTCCAGACGAATAAGCCAGATAATGCGCCACTTCATTTTCATTTGATACCTGGGTTATTTATTCAATTCCTTTCCTTTTTTCTACACATATATATAGATATTATTATGACAGTTATAATTTACCCAAGTAACAGATGTCAACGTATTTCGAACGGGGACGCCGAACACCTATTATCTTGTGTTTACCGGTTCAATAAATCGTTACCTCCACATCAGTCTCAGACACCGGATTATTTTTGCGTGCCCTCATTTGCATTTATGAATATCGTTGTGCTGATGCTGAATGTGAATACAAAAATACATAGAATATGAGAATTATAAATAAGCAGAATGTCGACAAAGTTTATTATATTGTAAAAATTAACGAGTACTGAATCAAAAATACGAGCCACGTCATTCCGCCCTTTTGCTTCAAACCTTATGGACAATGAGACAACGGCAACCATGTGTCGGTGTTTGATCAGGAATGAAAAATTACGGTTGGATGCCGACTATACAAATATCGACGTATTCGGGACAGGTGACAAGCGTGGTTGTTCTCAAGCGTAAGAAAACGTGGTGATCTGTGAGCAAATATAAAGGGTTTCCCCACCCTGATTGCATTCCAGACTTAGTCAGGATTGTCATTTATCAAGCTTGAACCAAAGGTGAGTTGTGAAAGAATTGACCGCGTTTAAGGGCTTGGTGATGATACATGAATGATGCAATAATGTCACTGTATTGCCACATTGTGATGTTGTTGCCCGTAGATTGACAAGTTTGTTAAACGAAAATTATCGTTCATTGGTTGGTGTAATATCTGACACCTCATCCTTTATGACACATTTCGTATTAAAACATATATTTATATGTATTCAGGCATGCGTAGCTGCCATTCCATGCATATTGCAACACCATATATTTTGGCAGATTGGGTATTTTTTTTTTCTCCATGTACTTATATTGCAGAAAATCTGCTACCCCACTTTCAACATTGGATGAACAAATTTCTTTACTTTTACATTTTCTGATAAAGCTGAAACTCATTAATCACAAACTAGGATTCTTCAGCTCACTAATATTCCTGAAGATTAGTTTATGATTATAACGGATATTTAATTTACTATTAAAAATGTTGTATTGTAATGTGCTAAGTGAGTAGGGGATTGCTGAAGATAAATGAGTTACGACATTGACATTTATTAAAACTGTTACATTTGAAATTGCTGGTTTTGGTTATTTGATTTGGTTTCATAATCGAATAAAAATTGTAGATTCAAAAAAACGGTTGTATATATGTAAAATGGCCATATTAACCAAAATATTTGCAATTAATTGCTTTTTAGAGATTGTTATTTTAGTATAATATGTACGTTACCATGCCATATTGATCTGTGTTATATCCAAGCACTAATTGTAGTTTGGCGTGGCATTGACGCAGTTTCATTTTCTGTTATTTGATGTCCTTTACGAAGTTTGTCGTTTCACTTATACAAGATCCTTTAACAGAATGGTAGCGATTCAAGTATGGACAGCGCCACAGTAAACAGATGAAGCCTTCTTACCGAAATTATCCAAAAAAAAAAAAAATCCGATATTTTTATAATAAATTACATTTATGGTGGTTATTTGTGGCATCGCCCACTAGAATTGGAACCAAATTTTATCTGCGTGACGTCAAATAGAATCTGATCTATGATTGTGATGTTTAAATTTTATATTTTATTGAACAGATGTAGATCAGGGCCAGGAAGCATATGGTGAGAGTTGCTATATTTGGAAAACATTAAGCACGTGCGTTTTGAATATTATATTTTGTATAATCTGAAGAATTCAATCACGCCTACCAGCACCAGCATGGAACAGAGTCATGTCAACATGCATCAATAGTGACCAGCTTAATCTCTCATTTGATAAATGATCAAAATATAGAGTGAAAACTGTGAGACTACAATGGAATTTTTATTTAGGATTTTTAAAACTATATAAATTGCAATCTGTTTTTAATGACGAAGTGTTTCACTTTTGTTTATTATTGCTATCAAAACATGTTTTTTTTAAGTAGTATACGTACTCGCTTGTCTGGTATCGCCTGATTAGCCGTTTCCATGACGATTTGCCCGTTCTATGTTTAAGCTGTAAAATATACCGGAAAAGTAGTTTTTAAAAAGATAATATTAGCAATCAAATTACCAATAACATAATGTTAGAATGAACAAAATCAGAATAGAGAAGATTTTGTATCAAAATTTTCCCTGAGCAATAATCGAAACTTTTATTACTGGAAGCTTGCAATACAAAGTAGTTAATTTCGGAGAGCTTACTCTAAGCAAGTGAATGAACAGTTTGGTGTTTCTGTGACACATGCTCGAAATTAATCAATAACATGTTTATCAATAACATGCAAAAGTACGAGGACAAATACCCTGTTCCGGTTTCTAATGTTATTGGCATGTACTTGCCCATAAGAAAAGTAATAGTAGGCAAGTTGGGTAGGCTAGTAGGCTACTACTCATTTCAGTGCAGGAGCACAAACTAGCACACTGATCGTACTTATAATTGGAGGGCAACAGACTTGAATTTCTTTTGAGAAAACAATTATTTGTAATGTTTGCAAGTCTATTTTTGTCTACATCATTTGGTATTTGTCGCTTTGAGTTCGATGGACGCGAAAATACACTACGTTCGGCTATAGCCGTGGTTCTCAATGTGGGCGTCGCGACGCCCAAGTGCGTCGTTTCAATTTTGCTAGGGCGTCGCAAAACTTTTCTCCTTTCGCGGAAAAGTACATGCGGTGCGTAGAAAAGCCAAAATTTTCGTTATTCTCGTTTGAATCATACTTGAAAACTGGAGATGACAATATATTATTTATTGAAACGATCAACCTTAATTATATATGTGGCCTTACTTGTTTCACGGGTCATTTAATACTGTTCCAATTATGACATCCACACGCTGAATCAGCTTGAGCCATGCATGTCATTCTTTTATATTCTTTTTATGAACATGGACATATCGAGCATTGTTGAGCAACGTTCAGCCTTGATGCTGGTGGTTCTTAATCTTTGTGAGCTTGCCGAACCCCGGCGCTATTCCGCAAGCCCCTGCCGAACCCCAAATTTTTGATGTAAGAGCGCAATCTGAACTTATTGAGGTCAAGTCGATTTTGTACGAATTTATAGAATATTCAACCGTCTTCAATTGATAGAATATGATTTCGTTGCCTCACTGTTGAGCATAGGTTAATTTTTAGGGTTAAATTTGAAGGACATGCTTTGTCAAGAGAATATCAACCACAAAAAAACGAGTTGCGCCATTCATTGTTTGTAGCAGAATAAATTAGAACAAACAGTAAACTTCATTAATTCATTAGATTTGGTTTCATTGCATTTGAACCCACGTACATTTGAACCCACGACAATTGCACCTGCATACTATTGCACCTATGGAAATTTTTTTTGTTTTACAGATATTTGGACCCACACTAACCCTAACCCATAGGTTTTAGCACCCGCATATAGATTGAACCCGCGGATATTACACCATTGGATTTATTAGTGATACTTCTGCTTTGTATCAGAAAAAGCAATTCTTATGTCATTTTCGCATTGGTGTCACGTTCAGTTAAGCAGGTAAAGCCATACTGCTCCTAGTCATTAAACCAAGTTTTTTTCTTAGATGACATATTTCCCGAAGAAGACTCCTCGGAATTGCAAAGAGTTTTTGGAGAAAATAAACGTTGAACCACTCTGAAAATTGCAGTGCAATCTTATAGATACCAATACGCCGTGCCAAAATGACCATCGTTATCACAATGGTCACAATCACATTGTTGTCACAGTGGAGTCGGCAGAAAGGGATGGGCTGGGCATTTTCGATTACCTGATGATTTCAGAATCGAATCGAATTTTTTTTTTGGAATCGAATCTCGAATACTTGGGGCTGTTGGGAGTCAATGGGAGATACGTAATTGTATGCGACTTTTTATTGTAATTGGTCCTGTTAGCAAATGAATTACTGAAAACATAGAATACATCATTGAGACCAATTGCGGAGTGTTCACACACAATAACAGAACGCTTATTCATCAATAACTCACTACAGAAAATAGTCATATGTCAGAGTTGCATTAAAAAAATATGGCCACAATAAAAAAAAAATTGAATAATCCACATCGACCATTGGCGGGAGGTAATAAACAAGATGGCGGCAATTCGAAATTTTGCTCTGAACCAATTCGAATAATTTCCTATTCGATTCGCAGTGCCCAGCCCTACTGGCACAAAGTTGTTTTTTTGGTATAGAAGTTGTGTCGATGGTAAGGTTAAAACCTATTAGTAGGTTATAAATAACATGTCATTTACGAAAATATTTAGGTTCAAAACCCCGATACGTGGAAGTCAGAAAGAATCTAAAAATGAGGCCATACAGCGTGAGATACAGACGAGTCA